AATTGTACTTTAGTACAGTAGTATCTACTGATTATAGTGCACCTAATTTAATTTACAATAATTGTAAATCTAATTGAATTTAAGAATAACCATTAGCCATTAAACACTCATTATTTTTGTTTTTATATAAAMATTTAGATTTTATAAAAAAATTCAAATATCAAAATAATGCAATATTATGTAGTTAATAATTGCGATTCAACATTTAATTTTTATTTAAATCTAAAATAATGTCAAATAGAAGAAAAATCAAATAACTATAGTATTGAGAAGACACTTGTCTACGAATGAATGATGATTATTGATTAATATTGATGATGATCAAATAATAATATTTTAAATATTACACAATAATACATTTTTATTTTTTAAATATAATTAATTATTGCGATTTTAATGTTATAAACCACTTTAAGAACCTGTAACGCTGCAAGCTGTTGATTATCATGTTAATAAATTGCTTACATTCGTTAATTAAGTTATTTTACCAGTATGAGTATAATATGATGTATAAAATGTAATTATTTTAATATTATAAAAACAAAGTGTTTTTGGTGTATATTATTGACAGACTCGAAGAAAACTTTAAAAATATCATTTTGTAAAATTAATTAGATTAATTAAAGAATGTAAACGTAYCAGGAACTTTATTTATAGAACTATGAATAATTGTAGTATTGATACAATAAGTGAATATAATTAATTGTATTGCATAGGTGTGTCATACACGGTTAATTAAATGTATTAAATTAATAACACATTAAAACATAACGATTGTTATATGTTTAGGAAATTTGGTTAACACAATAGAATACTATTATAAATACATTGGTTTTCAAATTTTAAATTTGTATCTCGCATGTTATAATAAAAGTATATGTATTTTAAATGTGTGGACATAAGAGATTTGAATGACAAAGTACTCGTATGTATTAATTGTTAGCCAATAGGTACATATATTTTTAATTATATAAAACAAAAAGTTCAATATGTATAATAATTTAAGCGTAAAAAGCTTCTTACCAATAATATAAAATCAATACAAAGCAATATGATATTTAAAGAAAGTCATTATTTTTAAAATGAAAAGACCAAAAATTCAATAGAAAAACATTTCTTAAAAAACGAGGTAATTCTTGAATGTTTCACTAGGTTTATGTTAATGTTCTTGAAAATGTTTGTTATAAATAATATTATTTCATTTCATCCGACGTAATCATTGAAATTCATTGAAAAATTACTATTTATTACTTAGTACGCACAACTGGCTAAAAAGCAGTACATATACATCGAATAAAAGTAGAAAAAACCAGTGTAATCAAGTTGTACGTACTTATTACCGGTAAGTTCTAACTAACGTCAAAAGCGAAAAAAAAACAATAGTAAAATAAAAAAGTAAAATAAATAACCCATCATGGATTATTTTTTTAAGTAAACAGTGTGGCATATCAAAAAAGTGTTTGGTTAAATTCTTCAACATTCTATCCTCTGTTGAATTAAGGTAAATGACGGATGATAACTATAACTGATGACTTACGCTGTATATTAATTATATATTTTATTATTATGATCAAATATCATGGTTAAAATATATATATTTGTATAGCATCATTATTAGAATAATAATTTTTTCAATTGTAAAATTTAATTATCGATAAGAAAATAATTATTTTAATTTCTGAATACTTGTTCTAGTTATAATATTATATTTTTCAATAAATTAAAATATGATAGTAGATACTTTTTTTAATAATTTGTATTTGATAATTTATTGTTTTTCTTCTTTTCAAAGTAAAATAACGAATAATCTAAACGTGGGTAGACATTATGATTAGAGTGTGCATTTAATGCAAATAACATTTCTTTTACTAAACGTCTTAAAACATTGATTTCCAGGCATGAATTCTGTAGAACTTAAAATTAAATTTTAATTATGATTTTTTTTAAATCAAATAGGTATATTTWAAAAAAAAGTTTTAAAAATGAATTAAATTTGATAAGAATTCAGATTAAATTATACCCTCCCCCATCTTCTAAATGTAACAGAAAAGATACCGAGAACAAAATTAAATATTATTCATTTTGTTTTTATTACGTATTATGCATAATCTATTTATGTACCAGAAACAACGGTATGACAAACGAAATTGTTGTCACATTCAGGCAGAATATTGCATATTATAATATAATAAACAAATCGGTCATTTTATTAATGTCTTGCTTCAAAACCAAAACGTGCGTAATTATATAATTTAAATAATATAAATATTATATATATTTAATTTTTGACTTTTTTTATTAAAAGTTATGGAATTATTCTTGAAAAAAAAAATTCTAATGAATTTTTTAATATTATGRAATATTATTAGTATCTACATTAAATTTAGTTTTTAAAAGGTATTTTAAAGAATTTAAAGAATTCAAATTAACGCTCTAGTACGTAATATATATGCATGTTTATAATCTATAGTTAGATACTAAGTTATATACATAGTTTCTAATTCGTAATTGTATTTATTTTGCGAGAGTGAGGCCATCATCATAACTACTACACTAGCAATGATATAAGAAATACACCATCCGTCATTTATCTCAAATTCGTCTCATCCTCGTTATATAATATAAATTAAACAAATTATAAAATAGAAATATCAATTTTAATCATGCTGAGTGAACGCATATAGGCCTAGCGTTCAAAATAAAGTATACACTGACAGCGGACACCGTTTAATGCAACACTCATCGGCTTTCTCATTCGTTATAATGACTTACATATGTCGATGATGGCACCGACAATGTGGACCCATCGTGTCCGTTAATCGGTCTGAAGTACTGATAGCCCTGCGCAAAAAATCAATTTAAAAGCTCGCCTGACACATATAATCAAATATCATCCACAGAAAGCACGTCATCAAAAAAAAAAAAAAAAATTCAAGACGCTGAAAATATAATAATGTTACCTATATAAAAATAATATCATCATTTTTTGGAGAAATAGATTCAGGCCAGCATATAAGATTGAATAATAACTCGCAGCGTTATTGGTTCGTTAATGCATATTACGACGACCCGTCATTCTATACAGTAGCTATACATGTATATTATATTATAATAATATATGTATTATATATACATGATATTAAATGTATATTTTTATACTTAAAATGCAACGAAAAGGCACTTGCACATAATCAAAATAAATACAAACAAGTGATAATAACATAATATAACACTTAGTATATATTATATAATATAACAAAAATATAATAATTGTAATATTATATTATAATAAAAACTAATAACAATATGATGATGATGTATCGTATAATAACGTGTGGTAAGACGCGCATTATTGACTAATATATATCTACACTTTTTTTTRTTGCATTTTTGATAATGATAACATTAAAGTCGTTAAATATAATAATAATAATATGATTATTGATTTTTATAAATATTATGTAATATCGATATTCTACTACTACTATTATACTACTACTATCACTACTACTATTATTATCGAATAATAACAATAAAAATGACAATAATAATTACCGATGGTGSGGACAGGTTGATGGTGGACCCACGGCGTTCGACGTTCGAATGTCTCCGGATTGGCAGACCGGTGCCTACCGGGGTGCTGCCGGGCGAAGAGGCACATGACGGCGCTACACGGATTTTCGGCGTATTCAACATGTTGTCAGACAGCCGACGATTCGGAAATGAACTGACTACACGCAAGAAGTTGCTGTCAGAACCGGAAGGTGATCCGCCAAACCACCAGCTACCTGTTGGACATTAAAACGAAAAACAGTGGTTGTCTTTATTAAAATAAATTTTTTTTAAGCTTCAACATCTATGGTAGCCTAATTTTAAATTAAATACAATTATTACAAAATTTTAACTTATACTCCATTTTTACATTTATTTATTTATGGATTAAATTGATATAAATAGAAATTGTATAAACTCGTATAGTCGTATACAAAGGCAAATAGGATGTAAGTGTGACATGTTTTTGGGTAATATTCTTTCATAAACAGGAAAATCTGAAACATTATTCACCTTATTATTATATCTTAAAGGATGGACATGGATATTTTTAATTTAGATCATAATATTACCTGCTTCTTGGTATCAAATTCAATTAGGATTACGTACAAAATATGACGGCGTGTCATAATATGTGAGTAAGATGTGACGCTTAATTATATATACAGAGGTAAATAAGTACCTTCAAGTAAGTTCAAATAATTGAAATAAAAAGGATAATATTAATGGTGTAGGTAAATCTTTTAAAAATAATATTATTGGTGTCACATAATATGTGTTTCTGATTTTGATAATACAATATTTTATTTCTAAAATATCTGTATAATTCTATAATTGGAAGCCGATGGATGATGAGCAACAAGCTACTTGAAAATTATGAAATTAAGACGTTTAAAAATTATTCAGAAGTTCTTGAAMAGCTTATTCGTCTGAAGGAGTTTTATTCGAATAAAGGCGATAAAAAAAGGTTTTCATACGTGAGTGAATTAATTATCTTTTTTTTTTTCCGTTAGTATCGAGAACCGGAGGAGGAAACATGGTGCCAATACTTCTCCTCCGGCCACCGTCGTTTAAGTGAATTAATTATCTATCACGAGTTGGAAATGACCAAATCAGAGTTTAAAAAATAAACACCAATACTATCATTTTTTTAAAAATAATTAAATATTAAATTTATAATGTATCACGATTTATGTATAATATAAAAATAAMAATTATAATGCATATGTATAATATATAGATTTGTAGATTAATTTTATTTTTAAAACACTGAAACCTGTTTACAACGGACACCTGTCTATAACGGACAATTATTTTGGTCCCGTGACTGTCCGTTATATACAGGTTTCACTGTAAAACGAATAGTTTAATATTTCCAWAACGAAAATTTATGGAGATCAATCAGCCAATTCCATTGTAATCCAAACAAGTCATAATATTCACAAAATACAAGGTTAAATATCTTTGTATAGACCAGACTCCCATACATGCACACCTACTATTATTAATGAAATTGATCACTACCAACTAATTTTTTTTTTTAAATATCCCATTGAGTTGTATGAGTACGTGCATTCATTGTGGATTCCAAAAATATGTAATTAAAAATAATAAGTGTTTTTACTACAAATTTATTTCCGGTCAAATTCAAATCTTCATTATTACAAGTGTATAGTATCAGATAATAATATACGGTAGTATACATACCGTAAAATACAATTGGATATTTAAAAACATTTATTACAACTAATTCATCATGAATAGTATGGTATACCACAAATTTGTGGTGATACTAAATTGTTATTTTAACAATGCATTCTACCTTCAAGGTTAGCATCATAATATTGTAGAAATTTTATTTTTGTTTTTACAGATATAATATTCGTACAGATTGAGCATAATTTTTAAAAAAGCGTCGACGGTGGAATTCACCCTTAAAAATAACCAATTAACCAGAAGAACATTTAACACTAAGAAAGTATAAATATTTTAAAGACATTCAATACTTAATGATGTACAAAAATAATTTTAATTATTTAAATTCAGCAGTATGTCTTGAACCTTATCAAATCATTTAACTGGTAAAATATAAGGTAAATGTCAGATGATKCCGCACTGATAGTGAAATMATTTATTCTGTTTTTATCAATAAAGGATTAACTAATATTAAACACTAAGGAAAAAAAGGTAAGTACCAAGAGAAAAAAATTTCCCAGCTAAGTTATTTTAATTTTTCTCTGTAACAATTTTTATTTCTGAGTAGTGAAAAAAATAACATTTGATGTCTTAAAAAATATTATCCTTCCTATACAGGCTTATTGCTATGTGACATGACTATGAGGTATAATAAACCAGACCTCTTAATGTTTTTATTTCAGTATGATATTGTAATAATGTGATGTCATTAGTCTAGAGACTATCTACTCAGATAATCTCTGCAGCTCTAAAAATATTATAACGGTTAAATTGTTATAGCCAATAAAATAAATAAAAAAATTAATTAACTCAAGTATTTGATGGATGCGGAAAATTGTGGTAAATTTTCTATAACAACTCGACTTGTCATTTAGGAAGCGGGATTCAATATGTTAGCACGATATCACGTTGAAATTATTAAACTAAACGTCATTACAGTCGAATGGATTTTTCATACCGAGGAAATTTGATATAATTTTGTTTCATTTGACATTTTCTTATTCGACGCTCTATTATTTGTGTCTTATTTAAGACTTAAAGCCGGATGAATCAAACCATAGGTTTAAGCAAAAATTTAATTTAAAAATGAAAATACATATGAGGCACAAATTATGTTATAGAAACTATTATAGGTACCTAGTAAACAATAACAATAATAATAACAATATATATTATTGATGCTTATGTATTTTTAAATACTTTTTTATGTTTTTAACGATTGCCATTATATTATTTTTTTGATATAACTTACCCGCTGAATTTTTTCTAACCATATCTTCAGCACTTGACGTTTTACGCGTYTCAATTTTCAAGTTTGGTATGTTGAAGTTTTGTGCATGCATGTTGTCAGAACTGTACAAATGTCTCAAAGGTCTATGTCTGTCTGGACTCTGCATGGATATTGTATCCAATTTTAGTTTATTCCGTTGGTTTCTAAAAAAAATTGTAATTGTATTTCACGTTTATAGCTCATAAGCATAATATGGGGCATAATTTATACATTATACACGTATACAATTTAAAAAATTAAAAATTAAAGGAAAAGGTTCATTCAAATTTTGTTCAAAATTAATTTTCCGAATTAAAATATTAAAAAATAGATATATTATAATCATTTTGTTTAAAATAGTTTAATATAAGAATTATAATGTATTATGTAATAACTTGCCCATTTAAACAATTAAATCTTGACTAATAAATTATAAATGCCTATATTCATTATTCACCTGTCAATCTGTTCCAACATGTCTTGTAGAACTTCAATGAGGGTTTGAAATTGTTCTAAATTCAAACCAGGATTCATTGTATGTGGAATCAGTGTTGGCATTATTTTCGTTGCTATCATATTTACTGATAGGCCGTATTTCTTGTCACGTAGAATTATACTATATATAACTGAAAAATATTTTGGGGCTTTATCGTTTACCTATATTTGCATAAAATGTAATTATAAGAGTTCTACGGTGGGTTATCCACGAAACAAAATATTTAAAATCAATAATACGGAATTGGGTTGAGTAGATGAGATTAAAATCACGAAGCGCATATTTTTATTTTTTATACGTTAACTCTAAATAATAACAATTCATATTTAGGGGCGGATCCAGCCAAAAATAACGGGGGGGGGGCAGTAGTATTTCATAGACGTAAATATAGTGGCTAGTGGTTGGGGGTATCTACTGAGGCTGTTTCCAAAAATTAATAATTAATATACACAATACATTTTATATGGATATGAAGTTTTTAGAGAACGGGGGTAGGGGCGATCGTCGGTTTATCTTACACTAACGCAAAAAAAAAATCATAAAAAATCACACTACCAAAGTGTGGTATCTATACATATTKATAAAAACCAACGACTAAACTTAACAAAATCAAAATGTCGTTACTCTTATGGCTTCCACTGTCAGATTTTTCCAGAAGACAAGAAACAATTATTAATCATCTCAAAATAGGCTACACCTCACTAACATATCACCATCTAATGACGAGAGACGACCCATCCAAATGCTCTACCAATGGTGTTCAACTAACTGTTAAGCAAATCCTAACCGAATGTACGTAGAAATCATCAAATATATCGAGAGGGCATCTCTGCCTAAATTTAAAACTCCATTCCGTGTAAGTAATTATTAAGACTATAATAAACAATCCAAAAATATATTATAAAAACATTTTTTTTTTTTTTATATAGTTACTCTAAGTCCAAATTTGGACGAAATTATGTATTATTAAATAACTAAGAATAACGATTTTAGTTATATCGTTGTAATTTAAAAATATTATTCGTTGGTACTTGAAACTTCCAAAACATATTATTTTATAGTAAAATATATTATATGCAAATAATATTAATTTAATCCATCGGTTATCGTGTTAATAATAACGACATTAATATAACATACAATATCCTATATAAACCAACAAATCGTCTCCGCTCAGAATCGATTATCATATACATTGATATTATAGTATCGTTGAATTCAAATTTGACATCACCCATTACTGGGATCCACTTGTAACCTGCTGAACAGTAGAGCGTCACCCACTTATCCATTATTTTATTATTATTATTCTTATTTTATCGTTCTAAAATTAGAATTGTCTCGGAAAATAAACTGACGGTAAAACATTACACTGAATAGTTAGGATTAAGCCTATAAGAACGTGCTTTTGTAATTATTATTTATTCGGAAAAATTGTTTATAATTGTTTCGATCCCAGAGGCATTAGCTTTCAACATCAATTTATAAAATCATTAATACCAAAAAGAAAAACGAGTGAATTTTCTTTAGAAGAGTGATAATTTAATTACTATACTTTGTTTTAACATTCACTCAACAATACAAGAAATACTCGGAAAAAGAAAAATACAATTTTCGAGTTCATAAGACTTAGAAAAAAATTATATTATATATATATACAAATAATATAAGTTTTATCATCGTTTTATAAATTTGGAATATAAACAAGTATTATAACTGACGAATTAGGTGCATGTTATCAAGAAATTGTTTATTTCGAGCTATTAAAACTTCAATATTCAAGATTTTAATTTGAAAGAGTAATATATCAATAAAATGTAACCATATATTATGTGAATATGTGTCATATGGTGAGAAGACTGGTGCAAAATACTAATATTATATATCGGTTGTAAATTGTAATAGAAAGACCTGCAAATATAAATTAATACTAGTTTAAAGTAAGTGATATAGCCACCTCCCTTTACTCAATGTTCACTTTTGACATCTCTAAGACCTTCTATATAATATCTCTAGGTACATATGCTGATACGACATACTGATAACCGACTCTCACGAAAACCACGTCACAGCCGGCAGAGCCGTCGTTAGGTTTTGCGAGGCTCTGGAAAAATCTTTAAAACTGACCACAATCACGTTTAATAAATTGTTTACTAATCAATTCAAATTAAATGTTATACTTTTATTTTTGCATACGAATTAAATATTTAAGAATTAATTTCTAAAAACTATTAAATATTTTTAGCTTACACTGTTTAGTAACTAATATTACTAATATTATTGATTTTATTGATTTTATTACAATTAAATATCATAATATTATTATTATAACAAATATTGTTTAATAAATTATTATATTAGATTTTAAACATATTATAGTTTACAAAAAATATGGTTAAAAGAGCGAGGCCCCAAAAAACTATGAAGACCGCGAGGCCCCGGCAAATGTCCAATTTGCCGGGTTCACGCGACGGCGCTGACAGCCGGTGATATGATACAAAACCGTTTAAATATGAATAACTTGTGGGAAAACAGGTGGAAAATAGAAATAAACGAATCTAAATCTGTTCAAATAAATTTTTCACTTAGAAATCTCGATTAACTATCAGTTAAGTCAAATAATCAAATAATTCCAACATCAAATTATAATCTTGGGATAACTTTAGATAAACGCTTAATCTGGAGCCCACGCATAAAACTTTAGCGTAAAACTGTTAACTTTAGACTTCACCCCCTAAGACTACTATAGAAATCCAATCTCTCTCTATTCAATAAACTAACCATATACAAGTCAATAATTTGACCAGTTTGGACATACAGTATTAAGTAAGTTATGGGGTTCTGCAAAGTCACCTAATACCAAAATGCTTCAAGCGTTTCAATTCATTTGCTTACAACTATTAACGTCCTTGGTATTTCACAAATAATAATCTTCACAAAGACTTATAAATTCCTATCCTTAATTAACTGGCAAAATTGTATTCAAAATTAAACTCTCACAGTTACTCATTAAAATAACTATCCTCCATTTCACTTCTCGGTAATGTATGCGAAAAAATTCAAAAAACAGTGGTCTAGAGACCTACTCCAATAATTATTATAATACATTTTTTTTTTTTTTAAAACGATGGATAATATCTAAAAAATATCTGGTCGGGTGGGACTGCTGATTGCTTGCTCATCCCGGTATTAATCTTGTATCGAATTTACACATTGTACTAATTGTATTTTATAGATTGCAAATACAATGTTTAATTAAATAATAATAATAATAAAAAAAAAAACTTAATGCCACCAATTTGAGATAGAAAAACGGAAAGCAGGAGCAGGAGTATCATCCATTCTCGCCGAAGCCCTTCCAACATCCAGAACACGGTTTTATTCATAATCAATTTTAATTTAATCAACCATCTATAAAATAATTGTATATTAATATTAAGCAACTTCATTCCAATGTAACTCCATAAATCTGTAGTAGCCAATGGCCTAGATGCTGAAGCTTTTATTAATAAAAAAAAAAAAAAAAAAAAAAAATACTTAGCGTTTGACAAAAATATGAAAACTAAATGGATGGTAAATAATTTAAGAAATTTATTAATGTTAGGATGTAAGGAAATTGCCAAAAAAAATATTTTTGAAAAAAAGTTTTTATGTTTCAAAGAATATTGATATTTAAAATAAATGAACTACACAATTAAATAAATGATTTTACCTAAAAGAATTGTTAAATTTTTTACGAGAATTCATYAACAGGACTAAAATTTGAGTATTTTTTTTTAAGCACCAATTTTCAAATTAATTAGACTTAWAATTTCAAAAAATGTTGAAATTTTAAAAATTATAGAAAATAAAATACTTTACTTCAAGAAACATTTTTACCATCAAAATTTGTCTAAAAATTAGTTTCTCAAATTCGCTTTTTTGAAAAGATTTAATACAATTTAAAATTGTTTATTTTCTCGATAAAAAAAAAAATTTATGTATATACAATTGTCATATATTGCAATTGTTGAGAAATAAATGTCTATAAATTATAAATAAAAATGTATGAATATATTCATATTAGAACAAAGGTTATTTCATTGATCAGAATTTTCTGCAGAAATCATGTGACACCTTAATAAATATTTTTTATGAATAATTATAATAATATGTTGTGATCGGTCACGCCTTCGAGGTACTATATTATCTTATATTATTTTCCAACACCATACAATTCTGCTGGCTAACATTTACAACAGATGTACGGTTTTCTTTCCTTTATTCCTTTATTTTAGAACTTATGATAATTGGTTACTATATACATAGATCCAATGTTTATAATCCATAATAATAGCTAGACCTTTTTTTTTTCGGTTTAACCAAGAGCCGGAGAAGGCACTGTTGCTCGGGGACTTATCGATTCCGCCAGTATCGACTCCACCAGTTTAGGTAGTCTAAAAACAACCTATCGATTCCGCCACCTTCCAATTTTTACCTCAGCCTAGCAAATGCTTAAAAAAATAATTAAATAATTAATTTTAATATAAATTAATTTAATCAAATATATTTTTTATAATGTGATGATGAAAAACTAATGCAATGTGAATATATATATATATTATATATATTAAATAATACAATATACATAGTTAAATAAATAAAATCGGTAGGTTGTTTTTAGACTACCTGCACTGGCAGAATCGATAAACCTTATCCCCAAGTATAAAAAGGTCTGGCGGAATCGATGAAACCCACTGTTGCTCCCATTGTCTCTCCTCCGGCCCAAATATTAGTTAGACCTAGAAGCACTAGTAAGTCATTACTTCATTGAAGTCTCAAAAAAGCCGTTTTTAAAGACGTAGAACTTTAACTTTGGAAATAGCTGATCCTTGACGGGGATGTTAATAAATTGCCTACCTAACATACCGTGTAATCGTAATATTATTGTAAACACAACAATACAGTACTTAATTAATACCAGGCCCTATTTTTTAGTGAACCCCGACACAAAGTGTGTAATCCGAAATTGAAAGTGTTCAGTTMGGATTCGAGAATTGTGTACCTACTAAATACTAATAAATAAGACTACTTGCTAGATAGTAATAGGTAGTACTGAATACATTATTTTTTTAGCCCCCCACGGTTCTGTATTATTTCATGGTACCTAGGTACATTATAAGATGTGTAGTACGAATTTTTGTGAAAAATAGGGACTGATTAATACCTATAGTTTTTAGTTCATTAGTATAAACTATAATATTATTAAATATTTTATGAAATTCAACAATTAAACAGAGTATTATTAAATGATTATGATGAATTTCAGATAATTTAACAATGGTAATATAATCAGTTTTGTTACCTGCTATTCTTGCTATCACTTCGGGATCTGTCTGATTTACTATCCAAATCAGTGGTAATACATCCTCGATAATTTGTTGTTTTTCAAGTCTGTTTAATATAATTTCTAGACACGCCAATATGTTTAAGACTATTTTCAAATCGTTAGGATTGGTTTCGTACACCATTTTGAGTTTAGGCAATACCATTCTTCTTATAGCTGTATCATCCATGTATTGAGAAACGTTGGTTACAGCCAATACAGCAGCACTCTAGTAAAGATATAATGGTTAAGACATTAATACGGATGATATAAATATTTATGAGAATAAAATATAACTGTAAGATACGTAAAAATTACACCAAACCTATCATTATTTTAAGTATTACGAGATCAGAATCAAACATTTATATACATTATGTTTTTCAACAACTTTAAACATATTATATATTTTAATATTTTCAACGAAAATAATTTTAAGTTAACTTGGTTGATTAACTATTTATATTTTATTAACACTTTATAAAATACTACAAATATGATCCTCTTATTTAGAGTAATTTTGCTGATTGTTTCGTTATATTGTACCTCTGTTAAAGAAAACATTTAAGTATGGAAACGTTTCCTTTGAAAATAATATTATTTTCAAAATAAGTAATATGAATAACACTTAAATAAATAAGTTATAATAGTTTATATTCTTGTGAGAACTATTATTTTAATATCATCGTGGACTGTGTTTTTAAATGAGCATTAGCCATTAATAAACATTTAAAACAATACTTTTAACAAAATAATATCTGACCTAAAAAAACTGAAATAAAATGCTTATTTTATAATAACCAAATAAATTAAACATTATTTCATCACAATTTTACCAAGTATCAAGTTTTTATCATGGGTTTGATAATAGAATCATTCTTTATTCCCATTCGTTATAATGTTTGCTCTCCCTTCCCTTTCCCCCTCCTCCGGAATATCAGATAAATATTAACTGAACGATTCATAGAATATCTTGGGATATATCTAGATAGACGACTCACTTGGGAAACACACATACAAATAAAAATAAGATCTTTAAACCATAGGCTTCAACAATAATTATGATTTTTAGTAAAATATAAACTATCACTACAAAAAAAAAAAAATAAATAAATAAATAAATAAATAATAATAATATGATATAATTTATAAATTTTAAAATATTAGCCTTCGGGTCTTATCTTCGATTCCTTCGATAGATTACCTGCAAGGTAAAATGTGCCTCAACAGTAAACCACTTGCTACATCTTTATTACACATTTTGACAACTTTTAATTCGATCAGATTGTATACATCATAATTCGTATTATACGATTTATTATTATTATAAAGTTAACATTTTATTTCGTCGTCTTATACTATGTAATTATCTCTAACTTTATGACACGGTTATTTAAATAATACTGTGGAAATGAACGTTTATGCAAAGATACTCAATAATAAATCGTGATGATGATGCATAATAATAATGACATGGAATCACCAGATACATAGTAATAACGTAATATTATCATAAATTCCATATAGATAAATCATAAAAATGTGTAATTTTTTCTTGCGTGAGTGTGAAATTGTTACATTATAATATTATTGTGAATATGATGCAATTTTTACCTTATGTCACAATGTTCACATTATAATATTTACTTGTTTTAATACGTTCACTGAGGCTCCATTTTGTATCCACGTAATTCATTGCTGGTCAAATTTACAGTATATATATATAGTTGAGACTTATGCTATTTAATAACCACTAAAAATCATGTTATTTTCACACGCAACAAACTGCGACATCATTATGAGTGACTCTCTGAGTTCCCTCGTATAAATCTTAAAACATTACCCAAAAAATGAGCTTGTCCAACATATACAGAAATAAGTATCCAAAATTAAAAACTCTACATGTTTTATATAGATACCCCTCACAAATCGGAATAATCGTAAACGAGAAAGTAGACACGATCGCCAACGAAGCCACCACATATATATAATCAACACATAATTTTCATTCGAATATTTTATTATAATCCATCAGAAAATAATGGAAAAATCGCAGAATTTTTTAGGAAAATCTACCTTCCTCCAAAAAATTAAGAAACGTAAAGTTATATATATAAAAAAGTAAGTTTATAAATATCAAAACAAGACTTTTTTACTGTACTCATTAATATTAATTGGTAGAAACCAAATTTAATTATTGAATTTATCAACGAGTAAATATTTAATGACATTTAAAATAAAATTACAAAAATATGTAACAATGAACGAGATTTAAACTTTCGAGATAATTTAATTCTGAATATTTTATAATATAGTTATAGAAAACAATTAAATTTCTTTTTTTTTATACAATATATTAATTCTATAAAAAAAATAGTTGCAAGCTTATACCTAAACACTTATTTTCAAATTGACACTTTATGACTTTAATCTAGTTCTCAATAATTTTCCTTCAGAAGACGAGATTGAATAAACTAATTTAATTGTTAGAATAATACTGTCCAAAATTTGAGCTCATGATTATGTAATATTTGCATATAATCTTAAAAAGAAACTGCCACGTTGCCAAGGGTTACATTAAAATATAATCATTATAACAATACAAATATATACATATATATTTAATTTAAAAAAAAATAAATTCTCAATCTATACGTCTATACCCCATTAATAGGTAGTAAGTAAATTAGAGAATAAAAGCAAAAATAATAATACGTTAATGATAACATGACAAAGGAGGTCATCCAGTGATAGAACCCAATAATATAATTTTTTTTTTATACACCATTAATAGATCAATAAATCTCGACACCATTTTCTCTTTAGACGACGTATGGGATTGCCAGAAAGTGAGTTGGATGTTCAGCGATTAAGGGGTTATAGTAAGTCTGAACGTCTGAAGTTAAGAATTCATTTATTTTTTTATAATGTCTAGTGGCTAATTAGTTTATTACTATTTCTATTTTAAAGTAATTTTGAAGCGTGGAATGGGGTATGTATTTTGGAGCAGAAAAAATAATGCATAGAATGATGGATTTGAATGCTTTAAAAGTACCTATGTAATTGGTAACCCCCAGTTTTGGATTTCGTTCGTCTTAATGAGTCTTAATAGGGATTTAATAGGGAACCTAACCTTTGTGGATTTAATATTATTGATTATAAATCAATCATGAAGATGTCCTGTTAAATACCATAATTCACAATACATAATAATATTATACATTAATATCTACTGTCGTTGTCACAAAATCTAATAAATTTAATTTCTAATTTATACATATTATGACATTATTACAGTGCTGTTGGAGGATTTAATAATTCCATATAATACAAAGGTATCTATTTCTTTGTTAGTTGTACAGAAAACAGATTGAAGCATACAGTAAGAATCCTGGGTAAAAGGCCCCGCTGTTGGTGAAAATCCCTCAGGGCTCTAAGAAACGTGAATTGAACATACAAATGCTCAAACTTGTTGTTCGCCAAATCACGGTGACGTAGAAAAGTATTTATTTTTTTCTCTTATTTTCCATTTTATTTGAAATATGCAATTATATATATATTACTTCTACGAGTTGTAGGTTMAAAATAATTTAAACACTTTAAATTACAATCTTACACACAAATAAACGACACTAAAAATTACACGATAAAAATTTAATATTATAGTTGTTAATAATCTTAGATTCAGAAGTCTTATAGTTATTTTTTATTGTTATTATACTTTTTTATAATTATTTATTTGGTACATATGTTATCATAATTTTTTGGATTGAAAAAGCCTTTCTGTGGTTCATTATATTATAGCACTAGCAATCGACGAGAAACTGAATTAACATTCCTAGATAGTTGATGAAAAGTATTTTTTCGTTTAAAATGTTCCTCAATGTATATGAATATGTTAATTTTTTACCTAGTAATGTTCCAAACGATCGACTTTKACGTTTAAAATGTCAGAAATGTGGTAGTATCCAATTGAGTTTAGGTAAAATCATCATGTAAATACATTATTGTATTACGTAGTTACAACATTATGATAATATCATATTAATATATTTAACAAACGAAATATTTAGATATTCGATGTAGGTACCTATATTATTATTTAGTGGATATTCAATGTTGTTTCTAGTTAACTACGTGAAACTAATTAATATTTGTACAATGTTTCTTGGTATTTGATTATAATCTGAAGTAAAGTAGGTTGGCAGTTCAATTCGTATTTTAGGTAAGTATGTTAATCATTTAAATTACTTTAATTTGATGTTTTTTTTTTAAAAATATTAGCAGAAATTTATAGATTATTTAAATAATAGACAGCTTTTAGACATAATATATTGAATTTTTTTTTAACTTTTTATAGTATCATAATATTTATAATAAATAAGTTTATTCAATAAAAAGAAAATTTAGCTATTCTATATTTGTATTTAGTACTTAAAATTATTACTTGTTAACTATGTGGAATTAATTACCATTTATTAAAAATGTTTCTTGATATTTTATCATCTAAATCATGGTAAAATTGTAGTTTGTGGCTTATTTATTTACATTACCTAAATCGGTATGGCCATAATATAGATTTAAGTCTAAATATAAACACTTTACACCAACTTGTGCTGCTGGAACAGAAATTTCTATTTTAGTGAGTTCATAATATTTTAATTTTATTGACTTCTACCACCTAAAGTAGGATATTACCCAAAATATTTATAAACAAATTGTTATAACTTTCTGAAATAATAAAAATGTTATTGGCTTCCTCAACGGTATAGTATCTACAATATACCTACATATATATATTTTAATACAATAATAGTTACCTAATATCCGTACAGAGATTAGGTATTATTGATAACATTGAAATTGGAATTTATATTATTTTATCATGTGATACGACCAAAGCACTATTGTGGTACTATTAAAGGTTTCGGTCCAAATTTTCCAAAACGTTTTGGTCCAAAACTTGTATTTTTTGGTACAATTCCAGTCTTTGAATTTAAGTTTGTTTTGACGAAATGTATTATGTATTAAAAAATGCTATTTTTTACAGTTGGTTATTTTGTTTTAAATCTAAGAATGTTAGTAAAATTTTGTTCTAAACTTATTATAAAAATATAAAATGATACAATTACACTATTCACATTGTGATCACTGCTGTGTTACATCGGTAGCGACTTATAATTTCGTAACAATAAATATTATTATATTATGTGGGACCGCATTTGAATGAAAATACATTTAGTTTTTTGGAAGTATCAGCAAATTTTTTAATTTACAACATCCGTTTCTTACATTATTATGATAATTAAAAACAAACTTTTTACTTTGCGTTAAAAAAAAAAAATATTAGGTAATTTTATTCTTTTATAGTTCACAATTTTTACTGATATAATTAAACTTAATTGGAAATTTAAAAAACTTTATTCAGGTTATTTATCATTTCAAGGGCGATTAACGATTAATGACTGTTGTGCATCATGGGCTCAAACCAGTAGCAATTAATTGGCGCTGTTACATCGTATTCACGTTTATTTCATTATGAACGTATTTATACAGGTCAAAAATTGTTAAAACAATATTTTGGTAATTTTCAGGACATAATTGTGATTAAAGTTAATATTTCTATTTTTTTGGTGCAGTTTTGAACAGTTTTTATGGTATTTAAATCCAGAACCTAATTATAATATGCTATGCTTCTGCAAAATAAGTTTGGCATATGATAATACATTTTTTTTTTAAATTAAAAAGTAAATTAGCAATAGTAATATTATATATAAAAATATAAATTATTAAATATTGTTTGAAATACTGGCAGACAAAACTTTTTTTTCAGAATTAAATTTTTTATAAGCAATGATTTAACCCATTTAATGACAGTGACCTTATTCAGTGACATATTCAATGGATGATGGTCATTCTGAATAAATGGTTTTCCATTGTTTTTTTATATTATTTACCAAAATGTATAGATATAAACGAGACATAGGTAATATAACATTGGCATAAGTGGAAAATATAAATCTTGTTAATTGGTTAAGTTTATTTGACAGTATTTTCAATAGTTTTATTTTATGTGAAGTGTATTGTTCGGTGCACCATTTGTAACATCGTCAATCCATTTTATAAAATCGTTTTCAGACCTATATTATGATCTTTTATACTTATTGGTTACATATCATTAATTGATACGATCATTAAGATGATATTATTTTCAGTTTTTTGGTTGACCTCAACAACTGTTAGGTAAAACGTAAAATTTGACATTTAATATTGAATTTGACATAAAAAATTGTGATTGTAGACAATTATTTATCTCATCATTAATATAAAAAGTCTCAGATTAATATTATCTAAGATATAATTAATTATTTGATATCAAAAAATCGTAATTCTGAACTAATAATATATCATTATTGTGTGCATTGGCGTGGGTCGGCTTTGCTATATCCCATATGTAGAAGACTACTCGGAATTTTCAGCAACAAAATCCTATCCACGCCACACATGCAATATGTGTTCCAAACCAATCATTTCTCATACAAACAGACAATGGCCATAGATGCTGGGATTAAAATAAATAAAAAAATAAAATAAACTTATTGTCTTTTTTCATCTACTCTTTTATTTTGAAATTCAATTAGTTAGATCAATATTCTTGTAATATTCGATATATATATATATATATATATATATATATGTATGTATAAATAAACAACATAGGATATATTATATAAATAATGTAATCAGTTATGAAAGTGCATTATACTGTATTTCTACGTCGAAAGCAACAATGTTTTTTTTTCATTTATTGACAGGGAGCTGGTAAATATTTTTATTTTGTATAATTTTCTAATAAAATATTGTTTGTGTTTTTTTTTCTGTACAATTGGTATTATTTTTAAGTTAAAAATATATTTAGTCAGAGTTTAACGTATTTCGTTTCCATAGAATATTATGCTTAAAATATTCATATTATTATGTACATTATGTTAGATATAGATGTGCTGTCTCCTTTTTGAACTTTATCTGATTAATTAAAAAAATGTGCCAATATACTAAAATTTTATTTCAAATAATGATTTTAAATTTATTTTTTTTAGTGCATCTAACTAGTTATTAACTTCAAAAACAAAGTTATGGATTTGCAACATATTCGATCATTTTTTTGAGTAGATTATCAACTTCTTAGAGATGTATTGGAGTTGTTTACATTTAGAATTTTGTCACAATATTTCTCTACAAAAGTACATATTTAACTAATATTATAATGTTTTTATTAGTGAAATTTTTCGTTTAATTTTTTTTGGGATAAAATGTCAGGATTTTGTACTTAATTGAAAAAAAAAATGTGATCAAACATATATTGTATTCTTCTTCTCAAAAAACTTATATAAGCTATAATATTCCTAATAATAAATAAAATTATTAGTGTTTATAGCAAATTAACCATTTAATCGAAAAATATAATTGTCTGATTAAATTAATGTATAATAATATTATAATAATTGTAAATAGTATCTAACACATTTTAACTAATGACCTTTGCTGCTGATTCTTATATAAGATAAAAAAAAATATACAATATATGTATATAAATGTGCAAGCAATGAATACAATACTTAAAAATATCTAAATTAATATAACAAAAAGAAAAACATAATAATATATACAATATACAAATTATATAATATT